GTGATAAGAGATCTGATAGTGGGGTTGAAAATATTGTTCAAACAGAACAATCAGGAAAAACATCTTCAAAAAAGAAAAAAAAGGACACTCCACTTTTAAGACCTGTAGGATCAATTCACTTATGTAGTCAAGTGTTTATTCCATGATTTATTTGATACTCATGGGTTGTCTTCATATGTAGATAATTTGTATTTGCAATGACCTATATGCCCCTGCCTTGAGACCATTGCGTCAAGTAGCAAAGTAAGTTTTATGTCACTTTGTTAATTTTTCATGTATAATTCAGGCTTAATTATTGACAACATGTTTTGAAAATTTGTAGGGTTCTTGTGTTTGTTCAGCCAACAGTAAATCGTATTGTCAGCAGGTGATGATTTACATAGACATATTAATTAAATAGTAATAAAAATTTAAAATTCATCTAATCTCAGATTTATTGCTGAATATTTAGGCTTAAGTATATATGCAACAAAGAAGCTATGAGGACAAGTTCTGTTGCACTTTCTGCATTGGCTGAATATACTGGTAAGTGATTTGCTAAATTGTAGCAACTAGCAAACTCAACATATTGTTTATGCTAATAAAACTTTTATATTGTAGTAATATGAAAATATAAAAAAGTGGTTATCACTTATCACTTATCACTTCATCTATATTTGTATATCTAATTATTTTTTTCTTTTCTTTTTTTTAGAATGTGACATTAGATCATGCTTGAATACTCTACAGTTCCTCAACAAAAAGAAAGAAATGCTCAATGTGGTATGTGGACTTCAGCTTGTTTATGTGTACTTTTTTTATTCGATTAAATTTAAAAGAACTGTTTTTTCTTTTCTTGTAGTTGGATATCAGTTCTCAAGTGGTTGGTAGGAAGGATGCATCAAAAAGTGTTTTTGATGTATGGAAGGAGGTATGAATGCAAAAAATAATAACTTACTTTCATCTATTTGTGTATTATAAGTATAACATGCCATTTTCATTTCTTTCTATTACATTGCTATTTTTTTTTTTTGAATCTAATCTTTTTGTATTCAAAAGGTTTTCCAAAAGAGAAGATTAAAGGGAGCAAGAAAGTCCATTGAAAGTTCCAGAAGCATGTTTAACGAGTTTGACTCTCTTCACTCCTTGATCTCTAACTGGTATATTAAAATATTTCACAATATTCCAATCTCTTTTTCCAGAATTGCCACATCATTTTCTTTAACTGATGACTTTTCAGTGGCAACTATGATTTAATATTAGATGGAATCCATGAGAACATCCTCCATTTAAATTATCATGATCCAGTGATGAAAAAAACAGTGAGTATAAGTTTTACATATTTATTCCAAGGAGATATATATATATATATATATATATATATATATATATATATATATATATATTTATTAAGTAACTCGACATCTTAATTTAACAAATTTCCATGATTTAGGTCAAGTGTTTACACAGTCTTGAGGTTTCTGATATCTTTCATCAATATATTATGCGTACACAGAAAATGTCTCTTATGGGTATTCAACCTTTTTCTGTGTACAAACATTTATAAAATTGTACGTTTTATTTTTATATAAAAGCTAACACAAATATGTTATCTTTTTGCAGCTTATCAACCCGCTATTGCAATTTCTATACATGGTGTGGTATCTCAAGTTGAAAAACCTAATATTCAATGGCCAAAATCTTTTCATCGGTATGTCAATCAATCAAACTAAAGATTTATACTTTTTTTTTTTCTTATCATAAAGACTAGCTTTTGTTACTTAATGTTGAATTAATTCATTGTTTACTACAGATATCGAACAACACTCATAGAAAAAGTGGAGTCATTGCACATGTGGCACAACAAAATATCTCCATCAATCTCAAGACACATATCAACTAAATCTTTTGTGGAAGATTTGGTTTCTCCATTATTGCATATTTTATCACCTCCAACTTTAAAACCGGTAATTTATTTCTACTCAATTCTTCCTTTTACATCTTTCTTTGTATTGAAGTTATTGTTTTTTGTTTTTTTTTTTAATCAGGTGGCTTTGCATTTATTATCAGAAAAAGAAAAAAAAGAAATGGCTCATCTGGTTAATACCATGGTGTCATATGCCATAACATACAAGAACAAAAAAATCGATCCTTTACCTAATAAACTAAAGTTTGAAGTTGCTATAGATAAGGACACCCCAGTTCTCTCTTTTGATCCCCCAATTGCTGACTTTGTGAACTTTGAGGTTTGACTTTTTTTATAATAAAATCTAAATTGAAATTATAATTTATGTTAGCTTACAATTTACAATAATCTGCTTTGCAGGGGTACAGTTGTAATTACTTCATTCTTGGCTTAGCTGTTAAGCAGCTTCTATGTCATGAGGTAAGCAATACGAGTTACAAGTTACAACATCACCCACTTACTTGACTTGTATGTGAAATGTGAAAAAGACTAAAATGCCCCTAACATCATGGTTAATCTATTATAGATTGAAAACCAGAAGATACTACAAAGTAGCATCAACAAATCAATGCATGGAGATGAAATGGTGAAAGAGAAATTTAGTAAACCTAATCGTGTTGTTGAAAATGACAAAAATGCCACCAAAGTAAAGAATCCATCGGGTCCCACTCCCACACAGCAAGAAAAACATACTCCTATTATCACTGTAGTACCAAAATCATCTGAGACTTCTACTACTACTACAAAGAAGAAATCAAGCTCTTTCAATTTCTTTGAAAGGTAATGTAATTTAATCCAAATATGATTTTATATTTTTTGTTTTGTTTGTGGCTTATAGTAAAATTATTATTATTTTGTAAACCAGGTTTAAGAAAGTGAGCGTGAATGGTTCTCAGATGAGTGAAACTGTGAAAAAAGTGGCAACATCCGAGAGGGATTCACGTCCGGTGTTATTCAAGTTTAATGAGGTTGGTAACTTTACTATTATGAAAAATTTAAAATTTATAAAATAATTAATGTATTAAATGTGTAACACTGATTTCATATTATCTTTATATGTGTTGTTGCATGCATGCAGGGATTCACTAATGCAGTTAAAAGGCCAGTCCGCATGCATGAATTTTTATTATGACATGTCATGTCATGTAGTTTTTTGCTTGTATTTCTGCTTTTTAGTGTAATATTATTCTTGTAGCACTTTTCTCAACATTAAATTATACATGAATTACTTCAACATTATGGTGATTATAAGTTTATAACGTAACTACTAAAAACACAATCAATCTACCCCTTAAGATTATAGCGTAACTACCAAAAACACAATCAAGGGGTAAGCCGGCCACAAGTTTGCCACCTTATTTAATAATACAATGTCATTTAGTAATGCCACAGACATTTGGTAGTGTGTCCTTTATGCTTTTAAGAAGAGAACCATCGATGAAAACTGTTCACCAATTCCATCTCTTCTAGTAAACCCTTACTTCATTTCTTCTCCCCAAAATCAAACATGGCTGCTGTATATGTCTCAGTGGATGTGCACTTCCAAGGAATCTTTGCCATGTCATTTAGTAATGCCACATACATTGGTAGTGTGTCCTTTATGCTTTTAAGTAGGGA